ATTTTGGTAAATAATAAGAGCTAGAGTCACCAAACTTGACATGTAGCTTCTAGAATAGTATATATATATCAAGTATCTTTCATTTTATACCTATCGCCTGTCGGAAGAAGAGGGTTCAGGGTGTCCCCTAGTCGGGAGCTACCGACTAGAACCTCTTACTTGTTTGTTGTTGCTTTGCGCCAAAATAAACCACTTGCCTGAAGTTTTGCATGGGTCGGCACATAAAACACAGTCTTGGACCGCTTTGGGCAGAGCGGGCCATCTATCAGCCATAAAAGCGTTCCTGGGCGGAGCTGTCCAAGTGCAGTCGCCAGTCGCATGTGAGCCCAGAAAACAAGTGTGCGGCATTTTCATAAATAGTTTTATGCAGGACATAAAATAATGCCGCATGAAAGCCGCAATCAGCCCGAACATAAGCCCCACCATTTGTGCGCGTACAGATTTCTGTGCCTTAAAGAGAGCATTTGGCATATAATAATTCAAACAGTTTACACACTTCTTGCACAGTGTGTGCTATGCAAATGAGGATCTGGCATGGGTGTCCTTTCCATTTTTATTGCTCCTTGCGCTGAAGGCGTTGAAGCATTGGAATTTCGTAAATGCCGCAGTAACAAAACAAAACAAATAACACCACAAAATGGGAAAAGCACAAAAAAAAAAAACGAAAGAAATGAGAAACAAATAATAAAATAAAAAAAAAAGCGTTGAAAGTTTTCTACATTTTGCGTATACATTTTTGCTTGCGCCTTGCCAGGAATGTGGATGGGCGTGCCAAAGGACGAAAGGGTTCTTGTGAATTTCTTAAGCATTGAATTTAAATCTAATATAAATTCGGTTGCCAACCAAATAGGATCTGTAAATAATAAATATGCCAGGAAAATGCTCCAAGGTGCCAAAATGTACAAAATCGAATACAATTTAATTGAGTAGGAAAGGCAACGAAAGTCCATTAAACGCATAAAGTTATCTTAAAAAATACTTATTATTTGATGCTTAAATATTCGCCTTTATTTGTCGTAACTTCTCACAGCAAATAATCTTTTTTTTTTGTCTAGTTTTTACCTTTTATACCCTGAATACTGAAGAAGCGTGTTGGACTTATGCCATGTGGCTCTGTACATTCGTTAAGTACGAGCGAACCCAAATGCTTCCCAACTATAAAAAATGTATATGCAGAGATATGCGTGCAACATACTCACCAAAAAGGAAAGCCACCCGGCAGGAGCACGGAGGAGCACGGCGGTTCCGGGAGGTAGCTGCCGTGAGAACTTTTAATATTTAATGGGGCGCGCTTCTGAATTTGGTTAACGGACGCAGCTACTCGCACGGGTCACATGAAGATGCATATAATTGTATTTTATGTTTATTTGGTTTTATTTTAATGGCATTTAATTTGATTTTTATGTACTTTGATTTCCATTATCCGTAAGACTGCTGCGGAATTCGGGGGGATTCGCCATAAACAATATGTGTGCGCAAATATAATTTTATTTGATTTTATTTCGTTTTGGTTTTGGTTTTTATTCGCTTATTCGCACGTGTTATTCGTTATAATTTTGCCCGAATTACTCGGCCCAACAACAACAACAAATAAAAAATATAAAAAAAAATCTCAGCAGCCGAAAATGGTTCGTTGCCGTGTGCGCAAATCATATAAAGAAATTGTGCTGGTTTTTATTTGGTGTTTAATGCCGTACTTACTGCCGGCTTAAATCTGAAATTCTTGAGCGCTCTTCAATTAAATTGCCTGAAAAATTGATGCGACAGCCGCCCCCAAAAAGGAGCCAACGAGCTCCTTCTGCCAGTTCGTAATGAATTCAAATGAGCCACCGTCGGCTGCTGAGATATTTTCATTATTTTCATGCATTTTTGTCTCTTTTTTTTTTCATTATTATATCTGTTCGTGACGTTTCTAGCGCGCCTTTAATTAATTATTTTAATCGTATTATAATTGCGGTTTTTTGATGTCTCTAACTAGCGGAGCCTCTCCGCAGCTTACAACATAATCATGCAGAATTTAATTAAATCAACCAATTTCGTAATCCAATTTAAAGTGGATACACAGAAATGATAAGAGGCGAATGCGTGCGTTCATATAATATATAAAAGTATTTATAAAATAAAAAATATTACATCTAAAAATCTATAGAATAATAACTGCTTACTAATCAAATGTATAGAAATAAATTGAAACCTTAGTTAATCACTTTAAACTGCTTCCTCAGATATCTTAAAACTTTCTTTACATGAAAATTATATCAAATGTATTTTTTATTTTTCGTTAAATATTTTTAGCATTAGGTATATCTTGTTTTTATTTTGATTAATATTTAGAGTTTTTTGCTTTGTTTAAGCAATCCAAAAAATAATCCGTATTGCTTTAAAAATGTTGTTAGTTAGTTTGAGAATTTAGATAGTTTTAGTTGAACATTTTCAAAAGATCATTTAAATTGTTTGTCTTTTAACTAGAAATACGTTTTTTTTTTAACGAATTAGCATGTTAATTAATTTGGAAAGTTCATTTTAGTATATGAATTTCGTATATTTTACTTTAATAAATAATTTTTGTTATAGCTTACTGTTTTTTTTTTTTAATTATTATATTTTTTAATTAATTTTGAGAGGTTAATTGAAATTTATTTCATAGCGTATTTACTTATTATTTATTTAAGGTGAATTGAAATGAAGTATATTTAATTTAAATTTATTATTTATATAGTTTTTGAAATATTTGTATCTTAGAACTGAAATAAATTTCTGCCAATTTGATTAGAAGCCAGTTACAGTTGGAAAATCCCGCGAGAACGACCGCGCGTCGCGAACTGCGACTGGTAAATGACAACTCCGCCACTTGGCAGGACCACGGTTAGGTTAGTGCATATAGTTGTTTTTTCTTTCTAGTTATTCAAAAACTAACGAAGCGCACTTTGAATATTGGCGACACGCAAACGAGCAAAAGAGCAAAAGGATGTGGCAGCAACAGCCGCCCACGAGCCAAAACGAAACCGCACGCGACGTGCAACAGCCGCCAACTGATGGGTTTATATCTGCCAAAGGCAGCGGCTTTGGCAGCAGCAGCAGCAGCAGAAGCAGCAAGTGCGCACTCACACAACCACAAGCATCACCACATACACACGCACACAGACACACACACACACGCACACGCAGGCACATCGTTCGCCTGTTTGTTGATAACGTTTTTCGAAATTCGAAATCATCGTCAGCTGCTGCTGCTGCTGCTGCTGCTGCTGCTGCTGAAGGCGGGCAGCATTTTGCTACCGAAATGGAGGCAGAGCATCAACAACCAACGACAAGGTTCAGCATGTTGCATGTGCCACACGGTCTCAATCCCAATCCCGGTCCAGTCAGCAGCACGAGCACAGTTGACGCATGCGCCGATAAGTAGGCAACAATTCATAATGACAACGTCCTCCTTCAACGCCTCGCAGCTTGGCGCCTCTTTTGGGGCACAGTGTTCACGTTTTCTGTTTGCATACCCTGTTTTCTGCTACGATTATAGAGTATTTAGGGTTTCTATGTAATACAAATTAATTGAATAAAATGACAAACATAATAATTTAGTTTTATTTATAATTTATTCGTTTGTGGCAGGTAAAAATATTTGTATAAATTGATAATATAGAACACTTAATATACGGTAATGTCAAATAGATTATAATGAACGAAAATTGTTGATTTATTCATTTTTAATTATATCAATAAATAATTATTGTCAACTTTATTTTAAGATACTTTTTTCGAACATTTCGTGTACATGCCGAATATTTGTTCCCAAATGCACATTCAAAAGTTTTAATTTCGTGTGCAGCTTTTGAATTAAGCTTGAAGTCGATTATTTTCTATAACAAATAAGTTTCATTTAAACGCTTTCTAACAATTTCCTATGCAATGTTCCTAATGTTCAAACTTCTAATATAATTTCCTATCACCTCCGAATTGTTCCTTTTATAACTTATAGTTAAATATATGTAAATACGTTAAGTTTCCTTCGTTTGATGAATTTCACATAGGAAAATTGACAATTAATTTTTTTTAATTATAGATAAAAACATTGTTTCTTTAACATCTGATAACTCTCACTCGGTACAAGCTAAAAATATTTTTTATAAATTGTAATAATTGGCGGCTCAGCTCATAAAACTCTTTATTTTCTTAGATTCGCTCTCATTCCAGGATATTTCATAGTCGACCTTTGAGCCAGCTGTCAAAATCTTTGCTGTTTCTTATGTTTTGTTGTTGTTGTTGTTGTTGTTGTTGTTGCCACCACATTGGGTTATTATCTTTATTGTCGTGCAATATTTGGCTGGCTGTGAATGGAATTAGTCACCGTGCCAGCACTTGACTTTGCCACCGGCTTCAAGTTCACGTGCCGCTGGGGCACTAATGAATTATGCCAAAGTTTTTAATGAAGCTCTTAATGGCGTGGCAAAGGCATTCGCCGCTCGAACTGACCCAGTTGTGGAAATAGCCCATCGTTTATATAAGCCTGAAATATGAATGGAGCCTCTAAAGCTATAAATAAGCATATTTGGTTTACCTGCAGATACATTTTGGCTTAGACTATGAAAAAAAATCGAAAATTGCAAATTAACTTTAACAATTTCAACATAAGTGCAATAATCGACCAGAATAAAATGCCCGACCAGTTGATACCCTTTGTTTACATAGCACATACATATGTGCTTCTGCTTCCGCCAGCCACACACTATGTGAAATACAATATATATTTTTAAATATAGCTTCCAGTATTTACAGTTAAAAATAATAAATTTTAGTCGGAAATGGGTTCAACTATTGAAAAAATAAAATATACGTTATCTGTGTATAGTATACAAGAATCTTTGTACCCAGTTTGTAATATCCAGCTCTTATAATCTTCGAGTTAAGCTTAACAGTAGAATAAGTAATATTTCAAATATTCTCAAAAGTGTAATTAAAGTAAAGTTAAAATTGAAATAAAGCAAACAAAATGTAAAAATAATCGAGTTAAGCTTAGAAAACTATGTCACAAAATCAATATTGATAGTCGATAACTCTACGTCCCGATCAAGAATAGATATACTTGATGGGCTCAGAGATGCTTTCGTCTGCCTGTTAGGTAAGGACTATAAAAATGGCGAATTTGTGGCGAAATTGATTTGCAGCACATCAAATGCATTGCCTACTTACATGCGCAGCTTTCAACTGAATTGCGGTCAAAGATTGCTTTTTGGCTATGTTTGCCCTTGTCTGACCAGCTGCAAATTCTCAAAAAAAATTTCTCAACAGCTGCATTCACATTTTTGACAGCCACAAGCTGTATTCGATGTGTGCGTGTGTGTACGTGTGTGTGTGTGTGGAGAGGGTCTAGATGTTCAACAATAACCACGAACATTTCAAGGCAGCTGCAACACTTTGGGTAATCGGAAAAATTCCAGTGCAATCGGGTAAGCGGAAATTGAAGAAAACTAAATTTTCAACTGCATTCCTAGTTGATTCGCATTTCTAGTTGATTCGCAAATAGAGCAGCAGACGTCAGCGGCAGACCTTAAGCGGTCTGAGCTTAGTTGAGTCTGTTATCAATTGCCTTGGCAAGGACACACACTCACATACACGCACATACACACAAGCGCTCACATATATTAACAGCAGACATGGAAGAGCGTGGAAAAGAAGAAGTTGACACTGTGCATACCCTGGCGGGCGTGAAAAAATAATAAAACATAAATGCCATTTGACCTTGTGTCGCGCGCAGAATGTCAATTGTTGTTCGTGAGGCTGGGGGGAGGCCGGTCGGGACTCGATTTGGTCGCAGGTTGGCAGGATGACAAAGTGAATGATGCCCTGTAATGATGACTGGGCGCGATTCCAAGTTTCTGTCATTTCAACCGCCACAGATGACAAATTGTTTCGCACACAGAGTTGGCAAATTGATTGAATCGGTTGGTAGCATAATTCAATTATGCAAAAAATGATGAATATTTTCAAATATGTTATCAACTATTAATGCAAAACTAGCTGACCTAATTACGAAATATTCCTCATGCCCAGTTTATTAGGCAGTCAAGTTGAATATCAAGTGGTACGTTTTTCCTTTTATCTTTTGTCTTTTGTGTTTGCGTGTATGCCCTGGTCTTTATTTGAGGCTAGGCAAACGGGCCCCATAAATATTCTTTATTATTTATAACGCAAGGCCATGACGCTGGACACTTTTGAAATGTGAGTTTTTATGCAAAACTGCGAGTTAAAATGTGGCGCGATCAATACAAATGAGCAACGACTAAATGGTGACATGCTAAAATATAGTCATATTCTTATTTCAATGTTCAATGAGTCCGCATTAAGTGTTTTTAAAACGTGCGCGCAATTTAGTCTATGTATAAAGCTCACTGCTACAAGATTTTCTTAGCCATTAGGTGGCAGCTCTGCAAGTCAAAATTTGATGCAATAAAAAACATTTGAGAATAATTAAGATTGGGGATGTTATTTTTCCTAAATATAGACAATGTTAATAGGAGGTAATCATCAAGTCCTATAATAATTCTGTATATTTTTCACTTTTTAATTTTTAGCACACATGCTGATATTGTTATCGAAGCGTTGCCACTGTGTTCGATAATCTAAGTGACTGAACAACACTGCCCGCCAGTTGTTTGTTTTGTTTGTACCTGCTTACAACGACGTCGGCTGCAAGGTGAATGAGTTTTGCGTAAAAAAAAAATTATAAATTAACAGCTGCGCGTGTGGCATTATGTGTGTAAACACACACATCGACAGACAAAAACACATGGCAAATAAAATTCGTTATCGCTATCAGCATATTGCACTTGGCGCCAATGCCGACGCCGGCGGCCGCAGGCGCCAATGCGAAATCATATTTATTTCACTAGTGCAAAAATTGATAAACGTGAAACATAAACAAATCGCTGATAAGCCGTTTCGCTGCTGCTATTATCAATGCACCGGTCATTTAGAAACATTCCTTTGTGCTCGCGCCAGCAACAACAAAATTATCAAGTTATACTTGTTGAGCGAGTTAAACGCCCAAGAAACTACCAACAATGGTGAAAATATTTAATGCTCTGCCCGCACAGCGGCGACAGCGACGCAGCCACTGACCTTTATTTGACTTTTACGCTACCAGTGCCTGCGCTCGGCAATGAAGAAAAAAAGACATTGCCTGCCACACACACAGCACAGACGTCGTGTCTGTAGCACTGCGTTGTCGTTGTTGTTGTTGTGTTGTTTTTGTTGGAGTTTCTTGCAGCCGCCAGTCACAGGCCAAGACACCAGCACAGCCTAAGTTCGGAAATATATGTATGCATGTGTATACGCATATATGTATATACATATATATGAACACAAACACACACTAGAACATTTGGTCGCGCGTGCAAGAGACGCCTCGCCGCAGCTCACGCTCATCAGCTGAAATACAAATTAATTGAATAAAAGCGTAAGAAAATTAATTGACCATGTGCCAAACGACGACCAATTGAAATTGAATTTTCATTGTCAAATCTTTGCCGAAAATGAAGACTCCTCTTCTTTACTTTTACTTTCGAACGGCAACATGGTGCTAATTGCCCATTGTCACGTACTATTTTTTTTTTGTGCAACTATTTTCGAGTGCCTTAATGTATGATACTAATAAAGTGCAACCTTTTTGATGTGCCCATGATACCACAGCTATTCAAGAAATGTTTGCATATAAAAGGTCTACAAAGAATGATTTTTGAAGTTCACGCCACGGGAGTAAAATGAGCCGAAAATTGTAAAATTCATTTGAAAAAATCGGAATTAAATCTTATCACGAGCGTCTATTAAAACCTGGGCCGGGCAAAGACGGGTAATACCGAAGATAAATAGCTATAAGGCGCTGCAGCTGTTGTGCATAACTCGTGATACGTAAAGAACTACGTTAATAGTCCAACTAACTAAATAGTTATAGTTATTAGTGCTAACACTTGTTGGAAATTAAGTCAACAGTAGCTATGCGGACTTTACGTAAGATTGACGAAAGTTGATAGAGCTCTTTTTCGAAATTAACCCACAATTTGCTAGCTGGTATATAAATTAATAATTTATTGGAAAACATGTTATACCTCGACGACAAAACCAACATTCAAATCATAGAGCATAGAAATGTTTGCCATAATTAGCCGGTAGTAAAATAAGGATCCGGCGTGCAACCAGAATAATATTCTGTTTGTAATTTTAATTAATAATTTTATTTATTAAAATAAATTCCTTATGAATGCATTTCTTGTGATATTTGCCGATCTTTTTAACTTTTTTTTTAATATTATAAATATTTGCAATATTTTCCCGCGCGAGCTTACATAATTTTCATTATTCCGTAGTAAACAGTTTTCACGAATTTATTGGGGGATTGCATTTGTGTATTTGTGTACTTTGCACAGTAGAAGATGAATACATACGTATATATATATATATATATTAAGAAATTGGCATCGTGAGCGATTTGCTTTGCTCATTTCCAACTCAACTAAATATAGCAGACCCCAAATTATGGACGACGACGAACGCAACCCGACGACGACGACGACAACGACGCAAGTGTCAGGGCCATGGGAGGGCGAGGAGGAACTGCGTTTGATGTTGTCAATTGTCAACTATCAGTTCAGAGCTGGGGCGCACCTCCAGCTATTAGCTAGGTGCCGGGTTGTTGATGTTGATGTTGATGTTGATGATGATGCAACACGAGCAGCCGGCGCTTGACGCGATGACGCTTCGGTAGCACCAGCTTACAATTTACAGCTTAACGCTCGTATCTTGCTTGGGTCAGCCGGCAGCCGATTATCAATCAGTTTGCTTCGATTGCCCGGTCCGGTTGGTTGTCCGGTTGACCAGTCTCCACTTGTCCACTGGCAGCAACGCCGTCGGAGCTTTACAATGTTGCGGCGCCAAATGTCCTATCGCTTTGAAGATCAAGATTCTTCGTCTATGGCCTTGCGGGTTGGCTTCAATGTTTTTCTTTTGTTTGTTTTTTTTTTATTTTAATTATATTTAACACTTTTCTTTGTTTTTCAACCACAGATGAATCGTCGATTTTCTCGGGTGGAGTCCGGCACGGACCTGAAAGATTACTTCGATCGCGGCGATAATGCGTCGCGCGAGAATCGCTGGAACTTTGAGGTCGCCTGGGAAGTGGCCAACAAGGTTGGCGGCATTTATACGGTGATACGCTCCAAGGCCTATGTATCCACGGAGGAGATGGGCGAGCAGCTGTGCATGATGGGTCCCTACATGGAGCATTGTGCACGCACCGAAATGGAGGAAATTGAATTTCCACGTGGCAATCCGCTGCTGGATGCGGTCAACACGTTACGCTCGAGAGGCTACAAAATTCACACCGGCCGCTGGCTCGTCGATGGCAATCCGCAGTTGATACTGTTTGACATTGGCTCCGCCGCCTGGAAATTGGATCAGTTCAAGTCCGAGATGTGGGAGAAGTGTAACATTGGCGTGCCCCATTTAGATATAGAGACAAATGATGCCATTATACTAGGCTTCATGATTGCCGAGTTCCTCGAGGAGTTCCGCAACTGTGCCATCGCCTTCTCCGAGAACAATGATCTAAATCCACCGCGCATTGTGGCCCACTTTCATGAGTGGCAGGCCGGCGTGGGTCTCATTGTGTTGCGCACACGACTCATTGAGATCGCTACCGTGTTCACCACGCATGCCACTCTCCTGGGTCGCTACCTGTGCGCTGGCAACACCGATTTCTACAACAATCTCGATAAGTTTGCCGTGGATGAGGAGGCCGGCAAGCGTCAAATCTATCATCGCTATTGCATGGAGCGTGGCGCCACGCATTTGGCGCATGTCTTCACCACTGTCTCGGAAATCACCGGCTACGAGGCGGAGCATCTGCTCAAACGTAAGCCGGACATCATTACGCCCAATGGCCTGAATGTCAAAAAGTTTTCGGCCATTCATGAGTTCCAGAATTTGCATGCCGTTGCCAAGGAGAAGATCAATGAGTTTGTGCGCGGCCATTTCTATGGGTGAGTGTCAGTTTTACACATTTCTCAAACCCACTTTAACCGATTCCCAACTTGCAGCCACATGGACTTTGATTTGGATAAGACGCTGTACTTCTTCATTGCTGGCCGTTATGAGTTTGGCAATAAGGGCGCTGATATATTCATCGAGGCGCTGGCTCGATTGAATGCGATGCTGAAGCACGAGCGTCCCGACACCACTGTGGTGGCCTTCCTCATCTTTCCCACCAAGACCAACAACTTCAATGTGGATTCGCTGCGTGGCCATGCGGTCATCAAGCAGCTGCGCGACACCATCAACAATGTGCAGCAAGCGGTGGGCAAGCGCATGTTCGATACATGCGTTAAGGGTCACATACCCAGCCCCGATGAGCTGTTGCAGAAGGATGATCTGGTGAAGATAAAGCGTTGCATGTATGCCATGCAACGTGATTCAATGCCGCCGGTTACCACGCACAACGTGGCCGATGATTGGAACGATCCGGTTCTGTCTTCAATCAGGCGCTGTCATTTATTCAATTCGGTTAACGATCGCGTCAAAATGGTCTTTCATCCGGAGTTTTTGACATCGACGAATCCACTGTTCGGCATCGATTACGAGGAGTTTGTGCGCGGCTGCCATTTGGGCGTGTTCCCATCTTACTACGAGCCCTGGGGCTATACGCCCGCCGAGTGTACCGTCATGGGCATACCAAGTGTGACCACAAATCTGTCCGGCTTTGGTTGTTTCATGCAGGAACACATCAGCGATCCCAAATCCTATGGCATCTACATTGTCGATCGTCGCTATATTGGCTTGGAGAACAGCGTACAGCAGTTGTCCAGCTTTATGATGGAGTTCTCACGTCTGAATCGCCGCCAGCGCATCATCCAGCGCAATCGCACGGAGCGCCTCAGCGATCTGCTTGACTGGCGTACGCTGGGCATTGTAAGTGTAGCTGAAGCACGCCTTAAATCGCAATAATATTTATATCTCTTCTTTCTCAGTACTACAGACAGGCTAGGGTGAAGGCCTTGCAGGCCGTCTATCCAGATTATGTGGATGAGAGCTCCGCGTACGGTTCACGCAGCAATTTGATGTTCTCACGCCCACAAAGCGAACCGCCCAGTCCCACATCTTCGCGTAAGTTCTAGTTACACATTTAAATGGATTAATAAAAAAGAACCGTCAAATAGCTTTTATATGTTATAGCATTTATGTATATGTGTAGTTGCCTTTTAAATATCATTGTAACTATCAAATAAAGCAGCTAGCTAATTATAAATCATTAATATTAATCGAAACTTGTGGATCATAATCACACCTCTGAGCATATGTATATATTATATATATTATTAAATATTCTATATATATATATATATATATATATAATATTTAATAATATAATATAAATATCCATAGAGGTAGTCCGGCTGATATGTAATCTTTAAATGACATAATCTATTTCAATGACTTCTGAATGTCAAATCGCACTCAACTACTGTTAATAGCTGCGATTATGAATCACAAGATACGCAATGCAATAATAGCTAGCTAGCTGCAGATATACATATATATATATATATATATATATATATATATATATAAATATATAGATTAGTCGAAAATAAATCTAATTTCTTTCCTATCATTTTTATAGGTCACACCACGCCAGCGCCATCGCTGCATGGCTCCGATGATGAGGACTCTGTTGATGAGGAAACTGAGCTGAAGGAACTGGGCATTAAGTAAACCAAACCAACCTGATGTCAGCACTGGCTTTACGAACAATTCATACAGCGCAATATTACCATAAGTTTAGTAATTTTGTTTCACACGTTCAAAGGGCGCACCGTTGAACAGACGGCCACGCCCACAAAGAGAAACTATCTACCTAATATGCAAACAACTGTTTTCTTAAACCAATTTCTACGCTCATACGCAACAGTTAGAACAATTTGAGTATTTTTTGCCAAATGCGAAAATTCTATTTAATGTTGTTTAGTCTATAAGCAGATCAAAGTCCCAACTACAAAACGAATGTTATTCAAACTAATTAAATTATTATTTACAACAATCGGCCACTAATTGACCTTATTAAATTTACCCAAATTATATAATTACTAGAAGGCGTATTCGCAATTTGTTTGTTGTTAAAGTTTTGTCCCACTCAAAACACTGCAAAATGCAAAGCATAAACATATATTGATTATCGGGCAAATAGAAAAAATATACGCACTATGTTGAAGTTAGATTAAATATATATGTATATATATGACAAATGATATACTGAACTACGAAATGAAAAGTTTTGGTAAGCCCTTAAGGCTAGTCCCCTTCAATTATGTAACCTCATATAAAATACTGCCTCATATTGATTAACCAACCATTGGATATATTGTTCTATAAACGGCAATTGCAAAGTATAAAAACCGAGTAAAGAGTTTATAATAAAGTTGAGCAAGTCTATGTTACAATCTCTATATGTAAATCTGTTTGTCCTGACTGACTGACTGTCTGACTGACTGATTGATTGACCGACTAACTGTGAGAGGAAGGAAGCTGAAATGTTCACTGGAAATATCTTATGTCATGGAGGTGCACGCTAAACGGGGTTTTGGACAATTCCACCGGTAAGTTTGGGAAAATAGTGGAAAACGGTTGTATTAAACTTTTTTGCTTACCATCCGATCATTTTCAAAAATCTTCGTTTCAATTTCATTTGAGTTGTTTTTCGGGAAATCTCTCTTGGATAAAGAATTCAGGTGAAAGGCTATAAGACGAAGTTTTAAGTTTCGTCCCATGAGCCACAAACTTATTTTCAAAGCACTCCATTAAAAACTAAATCAATATGTGTTCCAGCGATTCTGAAAATTTCCCCTAAAACTGTGCAAATTTGGCATAAAATTGGAAATGTATTTGAAAGTTAATTTTTCGGCTTTAAGATTCCCACCACAAGATCAGCGGCAACCGATTCCAACCTCTGTTTTTTTGTTGCGCGTGACTCTAAACATATGAAAATGTTATATGTATCTAAAATGTTAAGCACAAATTTCCCATGGGAAATACTATATGATCATGACCAGATGAATCCTTTTACGTACCATCTGCACATAATCTATAATTATCGATTTCTATAATTTTGTTTTTAAATAACGCCTTAAATCGGGGAATATACTATATTCTGTATTTTATGCGTATTTGTATTCTCATAAATCGCATTCAGGTTAAGAAAATGTCCCTTTTATTGATGACTCCACGTCTCAACAAAATTGAGTAAATCATCAGAAAGTCAGATAAGCGATTGACTCGATATAGTCAAGCCCGATTATCTATATATTAAATCTAGACTATTAACTATGAAGGCAGTAAAATGAGTGGAATAGTAGGTGAGTCAATTCTGCATCAGTCCAATTATACGAAAAAAACCTGATTCACAGCCTTAGAAATTTACTCACATATTTTTCCCCTGCAAAACGTAATCTCCCTATATACATTGCAACCGAAAAAAAAAACCTTGAATATGGTTTTGATTTTATAGGGCAAACATCGCCATCCGGTCAAATTTTGTATAATTACGTAAGCGACAAGTATGCATTTTTTTTAATGGGAGTTCTCTTTTTTTGTATTTTATTCTACTTTTTTAAGTTCTTAAAATTGAAAAGCGTTTTGGACTCGTGGGCTGGAAATCCTTGCGTTGCTGAGGCACTTGCTCATTTGTCAGTGTGGCGGCTGTATAGGGAACGGATGAACTTGCCATTGCTTTGGCGGCGTCGTCGACGCTGGGCGGGCACATCGTAGCCCGGATCGTAGTCATAGTCCTCCTTTGAGTTCTCCTCCAAGTGAGCTGGAGGCGAAGGCTTACGTTTGGGCACATCGTTGCCATCGTCGCCGTCTTTGCAATCTTCCAATTGGCCATCGGCGCCCACACATTTCTCCGATTCCAGCACCCAACCGCTGTCGGTATCGATGTCATTGTCAACCTTCTTGTCCTGGGCAGTGTCCTTTTCCGGCTCTTCTTCCTGCTCCGCCTCCTGCTCCGCTTCCTGCTCCTGGCCCTGTCCCTGTCCCTGTCCCGGATCGTCGTACACTGGCGGCGGCTGATAGTTATAGCCAAAGTTTGGATACGGATAGGGCGCATACAAAAGCGGCGAGGGTATCATAGGGGCCGCGTAATTTGGAAAGCAGCCGGAACAGCCTGCCGGCAGACCGTTCTGCAAGATGTAGCCGTAGTTCATTTGCAGGCAATTTTGGCAGCTGCTCCGTTTCAAGCGAATGCTGTTCGGATTCTGGCCACAGGCGACATAGGGCCAGGCGTTCATGTAATTACAGCGTGGAGCTTGCGATTGCGATTGCGATTGGGTCCGAGTGCGGGAGCGGGCTTGCTTTCGCGACTTGGACCTGCGTCGGTGAACCGGAACATACTCGACGGTTTCCTGGCACACATCCGGCTGATCTTTCTCGCAGATGACCACACGCTTCGCGTGCATCACCCGCGCCTGGCAGCGCTCGCCACAGACCCGATGACGCGAGTGCTCCCGGCAGTGCTCCTTGTGCTCGCAATCGCGCTCTCTGCGCACCACATAGCAGCAGGAGCCCAGCTCATTGTAGCCAAGCCCGAAGCGGCCGCCCACCTGGGAGACATTCTGATGCACCTTGACATTCACCTCGTTGCGGCCCTGAATGTTGTTCTTGATAATATTGTTAATCTCGTTCGTCAGCCGAATGATGTTGGTGGTGTTCAGGGCCGGCTGTGCCGGTGCCACGTAGCTGGTATCGTTGACGCCCTGCACCAGCAGCGGCTCATCCGTCAGCTCCGGGCAGAGCGGGCACTCCGACTCGCACTTCTCCCGCCCGGCACAGGTGTCCATGCAGCTCTGCCGATTTACCTGGCACTCCTCGTAGTCGCGCAGCGATGGCTGCTCATAGTTCTGCAGCGGCGTATGCAGCACGATCTTATCCTTAATGGTATCGTTGACCTCGCCACTGACCCACGATACCATGGCCAGCAGAAGCACACACGCGATAGCCACAACCTATAGGGTATATAAGTAAGAATCAAGTGACATTCCGTCATAGTTGCGATGAAATTGCATTATATATAATTAAGTTTTTTAAGACACCTACCTTCATTTTCGGAATGTCTGAGGTAACTGGCTTCGTTCCTTTCGCGTTGTTAGTTGCAAACTCTTTTGCTCTGCTGCAGCGAAAACTGTGCCTTCGATAACCATGTGATAATAATTAGCCCGTTGATTAGATAGCGCTATCTCATAAAATTGATTATGCTCCAACTATCGGTTTGCGAGAGCGAGAGAGAGCGAGAGAGAGCGAGAGAGAGCGAAAGAGAGCGAGAGATCGAGAGAGGGAGAGAGTACCAGGTTAACAGGTGCATCATATATTTATTTTCTCGTATATATTGAATGATTTTTTAATTCTAATTTAAACCTCATGAAAATGTCAGAGAGCGTTGATTGGAAGATGATTAGTTTCCAGGTGAATGAGGTGCACACAAAACTCAGTTGTTTTTTATGATTCTTCGCATTCTTTTTTTTCTCTATGTCATTCTTGTTTTGAGCACGCTCTAACTTATTTTAATCTACGTGTCGCATAAGCATCTTATTTGTTTATGCTCATCTGAATTAAAGCTAGGTGATAACCCGTGTCCAAGTCCGAAATGGCTTAACCTGTCTGACTGATTGTTGACTGATTGGTGATAATTCGCTAAAAAGGCAGCTGCAATGGTGCGTCGGACCGACAAGCGGCAAGTTATCGGTTCAAATCCATCATCGTCAAGACTTATATTTGTTTATCAATTTCCAATCAAAATTTGGCAGGCCACTTCAACCTCAACTCAACAGCCACACCAATAATCGTGTCTTTTCTTTAATAATTTTTGTGTTTTCTACCCGATCTTGATGAAATTTTCAACAGTGGATCTTATTGTGCTGTCGAATATTTGTATATTCTCAAGAAGTCAACTGCATTAAAATTGTGGCTTAAATTTGTGGGCAGTATAAATTGGTTTATTTATTTGATTTATAGCTATGAGGGAAGATACTTGATACATATACTATTCTAGAAGCTACCTGTCAAGCGTCGTGCCTCTAGCTCCTATACCTTACGAGATTTGCTCAAAAAACAGGATTTCGATATCGATTTTTATCGGTATAAACAAAACATAAGCCTGCAAGTCATACTTGAATTCATGAGAATCCTATAGAAAGACGATATTTAAAAATACAGGTTTTATTTTGTTTATTTGCAGAACAAAAGAAAAAACAGACCATATTTTCATTTTTACATATAAAACACCTATTGACCTATATATTGGCCTATCGACGCCAGCCATCCTGACGACGGCAGCCCACGGAGTCGGCAAATTGTGGCGAATCGCAAAATTGTTCTTGATCGTAGTAGGCACAGTTGGGGCTGTTGCAGCGGTAGTCGTAGCAGTAGGGGGAACAGGAGGACATCTCGCCCGAAGCACAGCCGCTGCAGTCATACCTCTCTAGAGGAAATAATGGCAAAAGAGAAAACCATAAGAAATCCTTTGAGATCCGAATCTTAAAGTCAATTCCAGTCACCTGCGGCTTGCGCGCAGTTGCCCTGCACTTGACAGCCCGCGTTCCAGTTGGGCGGCATGGTGAGCATCTGGGCATGGTTGTCGTTCCAGGTGCTCACACCTGCTGGCCTTATCGCTACCTTGGGGGCGCTACAGATGTCGCCGCATTGTTGCTGCCTCGGATTGTAGCATTGCCAGCGATCGCTGTCCGCCGGACAGCGGCAGGTGCGCGGCGCAATCACAGTGCAGCATTTGGTTGGCGTTGATGGCGGAGGTGTTGGCTCCTCCACTTCCTCCTCCTCCTCGGATTCCTCCTCGTAATCCCTGTAATCTGTTGGTAGCGTGAGCGAGGCATTGACTGTCAAATGCTGCACATTATTTAGCACCAAGTCGGGCGTATTCTTCGAGTTCTCGTTGATGATCGTTCGCTGTAGGTGAATGGGACTCAACTCAATGGGCTCGGGCAGTGCGCACTTCTGGCCCGTCCAGTAAGTGCCCTTGGGGCACTGCGGCTTCACACAACGCCCGTTCGAGTAGACCTTCGAGCCGCAATATACCAGACGGCAGTTGTCATTTATAAGGACTGTGCCTCGCGGGCAGATACGCAGAGGAGCAGGCGGCGGCGGCGGCGGTGTGGTCGTTGTCTTTCTAGTTGTCGTTGTCTTTCTGGTTGTGGTGTTTGGTCGAGTGGTAGTAGTAGTAGGAGGCTTATAGGGTCTTTTTGTGGTCTCAGGTTGAACTGGGGGATAAGGAGTTACAGGTTGATTTGGACAAGGTAAAGGTTGGGGCTGAGTGGGTGGATAGGGAGTCACAGGTTGATTTGGGCACGGAGCAGGTTGGGGTTGAACGGGTGGATAGGGAGTCACAGGTTGATTTGGACAAGGTGAAGGTTGGGGCTGAACGGGAGGATAGGGAGTCACAGGTTGATTTGGGCACGGAGCAGGTTGGGGTTGAACGGGAGGATAAGGAGTTACAGGCTGATTTGGACAAGGTGCAGGCTGGGGCTGAACGGGAGGATAGGGGGTCGCTGGCTGATTTGGACAAGGGGAAGGTTGGGGCAGAACGGGTGGATAGGGAGCTACAGGCTGATTTGGACAAGGGGAAGGTTGGGGCTGAACTGGAGTGATAGGCCAAGGTGCTGGCAGAGACTGAACAGGTTGATTTGGACAAGGAGCAGGCTGGGGTTGAACTGGTTGATTTGGACAAGGTGAATTGATGGATTGTGCGTTAGTTGATCCTGACGGAAAAACGTTTACCACAACTCCGTTTGCGCAGTCTTGACCTGGACCTGAATAATGATAGATCATATATACATATATATATATATATATATATTGTGCGAAACATTTAAATAATCACTCACCGCATCCACTCGGAGTCGCAGTAGGCAGCACACAAGCCCCATTCTGGGGAACGTAGGGCGCGTTACAGGAAATCGCAGCTTGCCCGCACGGAGCGTTCACGGCTACTGAGCTCTGGGCACATTGGGTACTGGCACTGACACTGGCAAGATGAAGAGCGAGCAGAGCGCAAGGCAGAAGTAGCACTTGATAGACGGGCATGCCGATTAGAAATGAACTGGGAGCACAGTTTTGTGGCTTGGCCAAACGTGAAAAATAGCGCATTTCACCTAACGCGTGCAGCTTTCCGGCAAAGGTTATCAGAGCGGGGCAATTATGTTTGGAAGCGCCACAAAACATATTTCGTGAGCTGCACTCGATTAGTTGCCGTTCGAGCTTAGTTGATAGAGCATCGCCAGAGACCGCATGGGACCCCTCCACATAATGTTGACTTCGGACTGGGCGATAGTGTCGATATTCTGCGTAATATGCTCATCCGCGTGTGCTGTGCAAGGTTATCAAGATACTAATGGAGAGGTAGTACGGCTTCGATTGCACAATTCGACAGATAATGAATGAAATCTTTATAGTGGATGACATGTCCGCAAGGTTACGAGTCCGTCAATGGCCTGTGCTATAGGAAGAGCTTGTGTCAGGAAGGTGAGTTGAAATGGAATTCGATTTGAAAGCTTTTTAAGTAACAACAATTGGGTCTAGGCTACTTTATGCACACGGATGGCATGTGCTATTCGTTAAATCCGAAGCCTTGCCCCTACGCATCCACACCCTCAACCCCGACCCCGACACCCACAACCCCGAGCCCAGCTGCCCCAAGCTTGTGTCCGCAAGGTCAGTTTTATTTGCATTCGATTTAAAAGTTTACACAAATAACAACTATTTGGTTAAGGATACTTTATGCATACGGACGGCAAGTGCTATTTGATAAAGCCGGAACCTTGTCCGTACGCACCTACACCTGCCACCCCGATCCCAGCCCCGAGCTTGTGTCCGCAAGGTCAGTTTAATTTTTATCCGATTTAAAAGCTTTTTAAATGACAACAATTTGGTTAAGGATACTTTATGCATACGGACGGCAAGTGCTATTTGATAAAGCCGGAACCTTGCCCATATGCACCCACTCCTACAACCACGACGACGACCACCACGACGACCACAACAACAGAGGAGCCCACCACCACAGAAGAACCCACCACCACAGAAGAACCCACCACAACCGAGGAACCCACCGAGGAGCCCACCACTACCGAGGAGCCGATCACCACCGAGGAGCCCACCTTTGAACCTCCGCCCGTGCCTCCGCCTGCTGAACAAGCCCGCTGTCCGCCCGACTCGGTATTCTTTGAGGCACAGTGTCGCAAGATTATCTGCTCGCAGGGCGAATACCATGCGGGTCGTTGTCTTCTGCCGGCCTGTCCCGTGGGCACAGTTTGGCGCGGCAAACGCTGCCAGCCGCCAGGCTATCTGACGACCATACTCGAGATCGATAATGTGATCAAGAACAAGCATGAGTATCAGACGGTGACGGAGAACGTGAATCATGTGGAGTACGAGACCATTAGGCCCTACGATCCGAACGAGGATAACAGCTATGACAGAGCGAAGCCCCCAACGAAATTAATTGCCTCCACCTCAACGCCAGCAAGTGTGCCCCTGCGGCCAGCGACGGATTGTTGCACGGTCAAGAGCCCACGCATCTGCCGACCCTATCCTCCAAAATGGGTGTGCTTCAACCACAGTAAAAAGCTATGCGATTCACGGATTTGCACCAGCCCTGTGATCTATCTGAAGCCACCGCGAATTGTGCAGCTGAACGATCCGCCGATGCTGGTGATGCCGCCGAATCCACCCATGACGGGTTGCATGAATGCCGATTGCCAAGAGAGCGGTAAGTGGACCTCATAATCGAAGCCAATCAGCTGAGATACATGATACATTGAATCCATTTGCAGAAATGCTTAACTGCTCGGGATGTGCCCAGGGTCAGCGAGAGAACTGCTCCGCCGCCTGCTACAATTACTTCTGTCCGGACAATAGCTGTGAGTTCAAAAACTCTGAAGACTTTTGTGCACTATATCCTGGCGGATTTGGGTGTAATAAAAACGACGGATGCGTCTGGAAATGGTGTACCAAGAAATGCCATTAATGTTACGGCGATTTAGTGTATAAACTATATATTGGAGTGCTCACACGTATAATATATATTATTCCAGATTGCAATATTAATTATGATTTTAATTTGTCACTTTTACTTTTCAATTTTCAACTGCCATTGTGTAAATAAATTTTAATTTACGCGCCTAGCTGTGTATCAAAATAGTTGCCACCTAGGTGAAACAAATGTCTCTTTAAGTGTTGAGAAGCGACCTAAATATGGCCGCAGCACAGCTGTTGGTCTGCAGTGTTCACTCAAATAACCAATCGCTTGGCAGCACTGTTTTAAAAATCAGCTGGCGCCGTTTTGCCCGTTTCAACGGTGCTTTTACTCATTTCGGATTCAGTCGTTGCACGAGAGAGCAAGCGTCGACTTGCATTTGTTTGGCTCCGGCGCGCGTATTGTGTACAAAGTGCTTAAACACAAATTTGTTTGTAAATCAAGTAACGAGTGTGTGCGTGTGTGTGCAAATAGAAAAACAAAAAATACAAAATAAAATAACGGTCGTTCTCGCTGACTCGGTGGGCGGCAAGTAGCAAGAGTTCAAATCACAAGCCGCAGTTGCACTTTGTTGCCGCTCTCAACGTTGCCTTTTCGGCGGTCGGCGTTTTTATCGTTGTTGTTTTTCGGTGGAGTAAGTGGAGGCGTCGCCCGCGTCCCTTAGGAGGTGCCAACAGCAAGAGGTATATTTCCATTAAAACATGCATGTGTGCGTCTCTGTGTGATTTGTTGTGGCCCTGTGTCGCATGTTTTATTAGCGTGTTTGCCACGGCAATCATAAAAACAACAACAATGACAGCTCCGACGACAGCAACAAGCGCAAATGCAATAATATTTAATAAACGAATCCAAGTTCGCGCCTTCGTTGTGTAAGCATTGTTTATGCCGTCACAACAACAAATATAAATAGCAATTGCGCAAATATACAACAAAATATCTAATTGCATGTACGTATGCACATGCACATGTGTACATATATGTATGTCCATATTATGATGAACAAATGCGGCAAATAAATTCTCGACCTGCCTTCCTTCTCTCTCTCTCTATCTCTATCGCCCCCTCTCTCTTTCTATCTCTCTGCCTCTCTCTCGCTCACTCTCACTCGCTCTTGTGCTAATTGAAAGAAACTACAAACTTCCTGTTTTGGGGAAAGGGTTGCATCTAGCCAAGCCCACCTTCCCCCTGCTACCGCTCAACCAATCAGCGTGCATACGTACGTATATGTATATGTATATATATATATGTGTATATATGTGTATATATGTATAACTGTTGCCTTTGCCGCAGACAACATGAGCTTTATTGCGGCATCCTAACCCAGCCGAGAACCCCTCCCCCGCACATCCCATAAGCAAAGGGCTCTTTGGGTGAGTGGCTGTATGTGTGTGTGGGTGTGGATGAATTGGAGCTGCATAGAAGTTTTGTGCTTTCTGCTATGTTGGTATTTGCCAGAATGCGGGTGTTGAAGTTTTTAGTGCAACATTTTTTCTATGTTTTGCCTATATTTCTTTTTTTTTTTGCTGCTCCAGCGGGAGCTTTCATATTGTATGTGAGTGCTATTATTAAAATGCCACACGCACGCACACATAGAGACAGGGGGACACGGACACGGCAAAAAGAAAAACTATTCTCAGTGTGTGTGTGTGCGCCTACGAGGCGTTGGCGTTTTGGCTAGAAGAAGCAGCAGCAGCAACAACCAAAGAGAGAGAGAGAAAGAGAGAGTGGGAGCGCGAGCCTGGGCTAAAAGGGGCAGTAGCAAGAGCGGCGAAATAAGTTAATAAATAAAACAAATAAAGCATAAAAATATAAATCGAGGCAACAGCAAAAACAAGAGAATTTCTCAATAAGAATTTAAACAAACCTCGTGCCCCACACCCCCGTACTTTAAGCCCTGCACTTGTTAGACATAAACGCGGCCGCACATATGCCACATGTGCCCCGTTAGAGTTGCTGCTGCTGTTGTTGTTGTTGTTGTTGCTGTTGCTGCTGCCGTTGTTAGGATTGTAATAAAGCGTTTTACGGCCTTCCTGACTGCCGCCGCCGCTTGTTGTTGTTTTTATGACAGTTAAGCTATTTTGCGTATGACATGTTTGACAGATACCAGCGTCGTCGTCGTCGTCGTCATTCTCATAGTCGCCGCGGCTGTCAACGCCGCTGTTAAATGCAGCCTCTGCCAGCGCCCACTCCTCTCATGCACACACACACACACACACAGCTGGCTCTCTCACTCATTTTGTCACCCTTTCTTGTTGTTGCCAGCAAAGTTTGCTTGTGTTTGCTGGCGTTTTAATTTTTGCGTCTATTAGCCACACATACATAAGCACATACATATGTATGCTTTGCCACCACTGTAGTTGGGATTGGAGCAACACAGAAGGGGGGAGTGCCCGGGAGTGGGCAGGGGGTTCCGTTCGCAGCTACTTTTACGCATGTTTTCGCACAGCGCCAAAGATGTTGGCTTGACATAAATTGTGTCTGCCAAATGTGGCAAACTACAACAACAAAACTGGGCCACGCCTACAAAAAAAAAGGCCATAAGAAACCAACAGCCGCTTGGCTTGTCGCATGTAATTGCTCGCCACAATGTAAATGACAAAAGCATGTTGCACAGTGGTGCGAGTACGTGTGTGCTTAGCAACTGTTATTACGCCTGTTGTAAAACGATTTAAGATTTATATAAAACTAGCTGGTTCTTACCGTTGTTTTCCGGTTCAAGTTTCTTGCTTAAAATTTTAGAGATCAATTTTCCAACTATTTCCCGACCGTGGCAATTTCAAATCTAGTTATTTTTTTGTTAATATTTGAAAATGAGTTTGAGATCCAATTCTTTAATTTTCTTCCTATTTTAGTCTTGTGATGAGAACCTTAAAGCCGGAAAATAAACTATTTTTCAATAAACATTTAAGCCGCATTTTTTCCCAAGAGGGGTAGATTTTTCGAAAAGTGTACAACCCGCATCAAATGATGCCGATGGAATGGTAAATAAAAAACTTTTATACAAACGCTTTCCTGCAATTGACCACAGTTGCGGGTTGTTTTTCAGAATCGCTGACAAATGTATTCATAAAATTCGTATTTAATTAGTTTGTGTTAAACAAACTTTCGATCAAAAAATCGTTGACCTCCACTTTACATCCAAGAGCGTTGAAAAAGTTTCATACAACTTTTTTCTGCATTTTTTCCACACTTGCGTGTGTTAACGTGAACTTTTACGATATGCGGTAACTACAATAAAAATTTCAGCTTCCATATTTGATGTACTTTTCGTAGAATCTGGTGATCTGGTGTTATTTTATTATTTTTGATCACTTTTTGTCGTTCACAATTGATTAACAATAATTATAAAATAAATAAAAAACAATAATAATATTGAGAAAATGTTAAATATGCATATTGTATATACTTTTAAATAATAAGCCAAGCTGATTCAAGGACAAAAACACAGTGTATGTAAAGAAATTTGATTAAGTAAAGACAATACTTTAATTAAATTAATTAAGCACTTTATTTAACCTCCCATTAAATAAAACAAATTTGATAAATGTTCCTAAGAACCTCATCTGTTTTGTAAAGAAGTGGAATCTAACCACCTTGCAAAGATGTATAATATAGATTACCATAATATTTAAGATTACATAAATATTAATAAATTTTGATTTGATAAGCTTCCTTTCAACCTAGATATACTTAACACACCACAAAGTTGTAAAGATAATTATCCGCTTGGTATATTTATACTGTTAGCTGGCCATACTGCGGCAAGAATATAAGAAAATGAAACTGCGACCCACTGTGCCTAAACAAGTTGGCGGGCTGTAACTAAAAACCGCAAAAGCTTGACAATCCGCTGCCCGTCGCCGTCGCCATTGCCGTCGCGGCCGCAGTCGCTCTCACGCCAATCTCGCGGTCCGCAGCACCGCGGGTCTCCACTCTCCGCTCTCACACTCTCGGCTTTGAAAGCTGTTGCTTCCGCTCCCGTGGCCTGAGTGTAAAAGTATCTCTTTGTTTTTTTGTTTTTTTTTTTGTTGTTGTTGGGCTGTACGTGGGCGGCAACGCAGCCGTCGCCTCAGCAGAAACCTTAGGCCAAGTTTCAAGCTTGAAATGCTTTGACGATGACGTCGTCATCAGAGTCGTCGTCAGCGTCGTCAGCAGCGTCGCCGTCAATCAAATTGTGCGCTTTCAGCGCTGTTCGCCGCGTCGCATTTGGTTGCATGTGCTGCGAGTTTTGGTTTTGGTTTTGGTTTCGGTTTTGGCTTTGGCTTTGGCTTTGGCTCTAGGTTTGCGTTTTGTGTGCGGCTTTTTGCGTACTCTGCACCCACCACTCTTATCGCCCCCGCCTCCGCCCCCCGCCACCCAGCACTCAAACTGGCACTCTCAATCCCATTCGCACATTCACAATGCAAATTGATAGCGCAAACAAACAAACATGCAAACATTTTGTGGTATTTGCGTATCGAATATCACTTGGATTTGCCATACGCTTATTTATATTTGTATGCCCTGTTACTATAGCGGAAAGTGGTATATTGGCTTGGCGGAGCCTAAAATTAAGATATAGTTTATTCAAAGAGTGAGAATAAAAATCGGGACTTTCAAAATTGATGTGTCAGTAAAGCGAACATTGCAGCTCCAGTGCAAGAAGCTGCTCGGATCTATTTCCTCAACACAAACTGCTTACATACATACATACATATATATACATACATATATAAATGCGTACTACTTGTGGAACCACAGTTGCGAAGCCACTGCTACAGCTTAGGTTGCATATGCCAGCCAAAAATACACCCACACGCACACACACCAATCGCTAATGCCGATATTTAATACAGTTTTAAAGTCTTGGTTACGAAGCCACTGCTACAGCTCAGGTTGGATATTCCAATCAGAAATAAACACACACCAATCGCTAATGCCGATATTTAATACAGTTTTAAAGTGACAGTTGCAGAGCCTAGACTGCATATTCCAGCCATCAAACCACACACACAAACCAATCCTAAATGCCGATATTAAATACAGTTTTAAAGCCACTGTCGTAAAGTCATATATTTTATGCAATGGAGGACGCTTTCCCATTTATTATGCTGGACACAGAGTATTGCACAGTCGGGCGATTTCCATTGCAACGTTCTTACTTGTTTGCTTCTTCTTCTTCAACTGTATTTTTTTTTTATTCCACCGTCGTTTGGCCATTTAATATTCATTTATTCAACCAAGCTTGTTTATCTTACTTTTTTTCTTTTTATTATTTTTATTTTTATGTATTTGGTGTTGTTATTGTTATTGGCATGTGTGTGTGTGTGTGTGTGTGTGTGTATTTGTTGTGTGGCCGAAAGCCGTAATCGAGAAATCGCATGTGAGCCATGGCCATGATTTTGAATTTGATTTCGTATTTGAATTCGATTTTAAATTTTAAGTAGCAGCAGCACCAAAAACCTATACACAAAAGGTACTTGGCACCTATTCGGATACCTTTATACGGAAACAAGCAGCATTTCCATTAAGCTAGATATTATTATAATATCATTTCGAGATACGAAGATGGTATTGCCAATATTTTAAGGTAGCCAAGATATCATATTAAATTTGTGTTTTTCTATCTGAAATTTATATATTCCACGACTTTCCCGAAGCATGATATTTTTAAAATTATCGCTAAAACCTTCTACCCATTCTC